TCCGGAACAACAGAGGCTGCACTGGCACATTCATGATAGTTCAGATGTGTTAGGGAATGACCTCCCAGGAGGGCCCTAAGCTACCATAAGCCTTAGAGCAGTGGTTCTCACCCTTCTAAGGCTGTGACCCTTTAATATACAGTTCCTTATGTTGTGGTGACTCCCAACCGTAAGATTATTTCATTGATATTTTATAACTGTAACTTTGCTACTGCTATGAATTGTAATGTAAATATCTGTGTTTTCCGATGGTCTTAGGTGACCCCTGAGAAAGGGTCATTGGACCCCCAAAGGGGTCGTGACCCAGAGGTTGAGAACTGCTCTTAGCAAGCCTATGAACTTCTGCTTCTTCATCCCTCGGGCACACTTATTTCTATACTGTTTCCAGAGCGGCATGGCTAAGCTCCTCCCCCACCATGGTAGCTGGCTTAACAGCCTACTTTTCCTTCATTCTCTCCCAGTTTCCAAATAAACTGAATGTCCTCAGCTCCTTGCCTCTGGGTCAGCATATGGAGACACAGAGCAAGATGGCATCTCAGGGTTGCAAGCCTTGGGTCTATGAGTGTCGTGGCTTTTATCAGTCACTCTTCTGTTGCTGTGGTAAAATGTCATAACTTCAAGCAACTTAAGAAGAAAGGGTTAATTCTGACTTATAGTCCCAGAGGGACAGAGTCCATCATGGTGGGGAAAGAATTGGCAACAGAAAGCAGGAACAGGGAGCTGGCTCATCACATTTTATCTATACACAGCAAGTGGAGAAAACAAACAACCTCAGCCCTCAGCCACGCCCTCCCCAAATGCCACCATCCACTGAGGACCAAGTGTTCAAATACCTGAGTCTTATGGGCGAAATTTCTCATTCAAACTACCACATGGTTGGAAGATAAAATGTCCTCCTCAGACTTGTGTGTTGAAGGACTGGCACCTAGCTGGTAACAATTTTGTGAGGTGGTAGAAAATTTGGAGGTGTCACTTAGCTAGAGGAAGGAGGTCCTGAGGGGGTGTGCCGTTGAAGGTAGCTTTGAAGGTGGTACAGGTTCCCTCTCACTTCCTTACTCTCCATTTCATGTCTGTCGTGAGGTTTGACAACTTTCCAGGCCACATGATCCTAATGCCAACATATTCAGCCCAAGTACATGGAAAAAAACAACTATGGGCTGAGCTGTCTGAGACAATGAGCCAACATACGGAATTTCTCCCTTCAAGCTGAGATCTTAAGCATTTGGTCACAGTGACTGGCACTAGTGCAGGAAGTCTCTTTGCCTTTGCTCTTGGTACAGCTGCCTCTGTAATTTTATGGCCAATGGGTGCTCTCCTTGGTACCTAAACTCAGATCTCCCTTGCACCTGGATTAAGGTTTATTCTTTCCTGCTCCTGTCTGTTTCTACTGTGTTCTGGAATGAATCAACCCCACAAAGATGTACACACAAGTCAAAGCCATTCTTTGAATTAAAAAATCATTTCTTCTTCCTGAACAACTCCTAACCGTCACTCGAGACATCAAGAGGCCAGGAGTTCTGACATGCTTAGGATACTAGGAGACAACTTCTCAAATGTTCTGATGTCAGTCGACCACCATGACTGCTACTAACTCTGTGTTCCACAGGCTAGCCCTCTTCCCATCCTGTGGAGTCCTCTCCTGTCAGTTTATCTCTTCGATCTCCCTGTTCCCTCTCCTGGTCCAGATCAGCTCCCTAATACACCAGCCAAAACCACTCCGTGTCAGCCCTGCTCACGGCAGATTCTTCTGAGCCAACCCCGAGCCTGTTCAGCCAATGGCTGCTTGTTTCCTTGTACTTGGGAAGAACATTATGGCATCAGGAACATGGGACATAGGAAGCTGTCAACCTTTGTGACAGACAAGACGTGAGAGGGGACCAGATCACGCCTTCAAAGGCACATGACCTCTCAAGGATCTTGGCAAACCTGAGACTAGCTATTACAGCAATAACTGTTTTACCCCCACACACCAACACTTTACAGGAACTTGCCAGCGTGTCTACAGGGCAGTTGGTACCCTGTACCTTAATTATTAATTATTTGATGACATTTCCATTAGGCTAGGAGCATCCTGGGAATAGGAACTATACCTTATTCATCTCTGAACCTGTAGTGGCTGTTACGTCACTTAATAACTGATACCCAAACAAGTCCTATACACTCAGGCAAGAAGCCTGAGATGACATGAGCTGAAGTTTCAGGGCAATGTTCTCTGAATGTCGGTGGGAGGAAGGGATGACTGTGTAGTCGCTTTAGTCATAAACCAGTACTGGTTTAAGTGTGTATATGACAAGCATGGTGAACTGCAGGTCTGGGGAAGAGGGTATCCATGAAGGAGCAGGCTCACGATGGCCTTGTGGGAAGAGCTGAGGAGTCTTAACTTCATCCTGAAGATTGTGAGGCAGGAGTGGGGATAAAATCTAGCTCATTCTTAACTTGTTACTGCTAAAGCTGAGATCAGAAGGCTTACATTTTTTTTAGGTTAATTTTTTTATATGTGGGAACTCTGTTTGTGTGCCACATGCATTCTTGGTACCCACAGAGACCAGAAAAGGGCAACAGATGGTCTAGGACTGGGATTCAGGTAGTTGTGAGCCACTGTGGGTGCTGGGAACTGAACGTGGTTCCTCTGGAAGAAGAGCCAATGCTCTAGCTGCTGAGCCAGCTCTCTAGCCACAGAAGGCTCACTGTTAGTTATGCTTCTGAATTAGTATCTACCGTGCTGGTATTTGTTCTATACTCGAGTTTAATTGAAATGAGGTATCTATAAAATTGTTTTTGTTTAAGTTTACAGTTTAAAAGATATTTTATGTGTATGTGTTCATATCTGAGTGTATACGTATGTGTGTATAATCTCAGGCAGGTCAGAAGAGGAATCTCCTGGAGCTGGTGTTGCGGATGGTTGAGTTACCATGTGGGTGTTCTACAAGAGCAGTAAGTGGTCTTGATAGCTAAGCTCCACCAGCCCTGTCTCAGTCAGTGTTTATTTCTCATTATTAGACTGTTTTATTGGACAGGAAATAGGGGCTGGTGTGCTCAAGAGCTAATTTTTGAACTCTCTCTCTCTTTTTTTTTCTAGAAGTGATTGGCAGAAGCTTGTGGGGAAATTCTCTACCACCCTCCTCAACCTTGAGAGGAACAGATCTGAGGTGTGTCACTTCAGGCTCTCAGAGATCTGAGAAGACTAAGCAGCCCCTCCTCCATGGTCACTGCTTATCAGAACACTCTTCCTTTCTTCTTTGTCTCAGCTCCTCACTCCCTCACAAGGGTCTCCCGAGGTTACCCTCTCAGTAAAAGGGGGTACCTTGGACAATTCTCTTGTTTTTCTCTGCTAATAATTTTTTAGGTGTTATTTTGTCTTGAATTAGGCTTTTCTTGGTTTTGTGCTTTAGAACCTTTTTGTAAGATTCATATAGGGCCCAGTATGTAGTCTGTGTATTGCCCATGTGACAGAATGGGTGAGGACCCTTGGTCACTCATCGCTACCTACCCCTGGATGCAGTTAGAACTTGGACAGATTGTTTATATCCCCAGTAGAATCTTGAAGTATGATTGTCATGGGGGAGGGATGTCTCTGTTTCTGTCACTGATCTGCTCTTCCAGCTGGTCCGCAGAGCCACATGGCATCTCTATGCCTGGTCCCACTCCCACTCTTACAACCATCATGTGGCACCTCAATATCTTGTCAGCTTTCAGCCAGGATGAAACCCAAGATTCTCTAGGCCATAGGTTTTATAGGTTATGGCTCACTGGTAAAGAGATCAACCTGATGCATACCAAGTCACCCATGGCCACCATGATAGCTACTGACTCGTTCCTGTGGCCTTCTGAAGTATACTGTCCTCTAGTGACCACAGCTTTCGACTAGAATTCATGGCTAACTCTACCCTGTTTTCCACGACCTCAGAGGGCAGCCCACCTGCTCATATGTGTACCTTGGGGTGCCCATGTGCTGAGGACCAGGGTGAAGGTTTTCATCATAAAGTGACTAAGTTCCATGTGAACACCACGAGCTCAGTGAGCTCAGCATGGCTTACAGGGAAAAGCTGCAACTGTCCAAATAACTGTGGTTGGAACATCTGGGTAGAGTAGGGTCTATCCTGTTCTGGGCCTTAGAACAGAGTCTATCCTGCCCTGGGTCTTAGAACAGGGTTTATCTTATCCTGGGCCTTAGAACAAGGTCTGTCCTGCTCAGGGTCTCAGAACAGGGTCTATCCTTCACAGGGCCTTAGAACTGGGTCTATCCTGTCCTGGGCCTTAGAATAGAGTCTATCCTGCCCTGGGTTTTAGAGCAGGGTCTAACCTGTCCTAGGCCTTAGAACAGGGTCTATCCTGCCCTGGGCCTTAGAGCAGGGTCTATCCTGCCCAGGGCCTGTCCTCCGCTCTCACAGAGGTGGTTGTGTTGAGGAGCACCAGGGAAAAGAGAAAGCAACAGCTCAGCTCCTCTTTCCTTTTGGAATCATGCTATCATTGGAATAAACTAACTGACTCTAAAAAAGCTCACTCAATTCATTTCAATCTTCGAATTTCCTCAATTCCCTTGACTATGGCAGGAATACACATATAAATACAGCAAAGTACCAGCTGACACAGACAACCATGTAACAGAGAACACGGTGTGTTGTTAGTGATGGGAATCATGACGATCAGGGATCCATTTATACTTATTTTTAACAACCACTGACACAGAACTGAAATTTTATACATGTGCATGATGGGGCTAACAGTTGTAGCTGCTCAGAGAGGGTCAGTTCACAAGAGAAAAGGGATGGAACAGGACATAGGATACATATTCTCCAAGGTATATATTTATGGCTGCCGCTTGGCTGTACTAGCAACCTTCTGAGACCAGGATGAAAGCCGATCTGTAGTGCTTCCAAGTTCTTATGCCGTTTGCAGACTCAGTGCCTGGTCTGTGCTATGAAACACGTCAGCAAGCGGATCAGATAGGAAATGGCTCCCTCTCGGGGGAGCACTCTTTTCAGGGGAGCACTCCTTACCTTCTGCCACATGTTGATGAAGAAGAGTTCCCTGGAGACGTTGAAGGACACGTTGGCATCATAGGCATCATCTCCAAGGTTGGAGATGGAGATGTTTAGAGAGATATTCTTCACAGCCCCCAAAGCCAGGTGTGGGGTCTTCTCATCAACACTACAAAGAAAACCAAACGTTGATTACTTTTCTTACACTTAGAGTAATATGACAGGAGGCACCAGGTAGTAGTTTGGAGGTGTCAGGAAATGAGAGCATAGCTGTAATACCCAGGAGGCTCATTCACTAGGCACATGCCCAAAGGGTGTCAGCACCCCTTTTTTTGGCTAAAACAAGGGAGTTCTATGTTTCGAAGTTACTAGATTGTTGTATGGCTCATAAGAAACCAAACTTGGAAAGCTGAAGACATTTAAAAAGCTTTATGCGGAATTTATTCATTCTGTTCTTTTGAGCAGACCCTGCATTTTTCACATCCTGTGCTAGACAAGGTTAGCGTTAATTGTCCATGTGACAGAATCTAGAATTGCCTGGGAGATGGCCTCTGGACATGCCTGTGTGGGGTGTTAATTGAGGTGGGAAGATATATTCATTGTGGATGCAACTCTTCCCTGGGGAGGGATTGCAGACTGAAATAAAGAAATGAGCACCAGCACGCATCTTAATGCAAATAAAATAAGCCATCTCTCTAAGTGCTTGTTGCTGGGACTTCCTGCCATGACCGATTGTAATCTGGAAGTGTTAGCCAAAATCAACCCCTTCTCTCTCAAGCTTCTTTGGTTAGAGAACTTTTATTTTTAACAACAGGAAAAGAAAGCAAGACACCAGAAACTGGAAGTAGCACGTAACTTCAGAGACATAGAAGATGCTCACATGGAAGTAGCATGTAACTTCAGGGAGATAGAAGATGCTCACACAAAGCAAATGCATATAACTAGCTACAGAAACCTTGGAGGGTAGGAAGTGGTCTGGGGGAGTGGTCTGCAATTTCCAATACAGTGGTCTGGGAAGCCTCACTGAGGAGGCACCTCTCACTAGAAACACGGGAGAAGGAGAACAGGACACACAGAATAGAGGGTTTACCAAGGGCTTACCCTGTGGTAGGCACAGACCTGGCATGTTCAAGGAAGAGAATGGAGGCCAGAGAGGATTGAGCAGGTTGAGAGGAGATGAGCTCTAAGAGGTAAAGGAAACAGAGCCGGCAGATTCTACAGGTCCTGGTGTATCGCCATGGAAACCTTAGTGTAGATATAATACAGATGCGATCCCCGATCTGCTCTCAGCTGAGAAGCAGTAACTCTCGGGGTCCATATTAGGAGGAAGCTCCTACTATGTGCAATGCAGATCATCTACAGAGCACTCTTGGGAGAAGTTGGTGAGGAGTCTCCTGCAGCAAGTCAGATGGAAGAAGGTGAAAGGTCAGACCAGGCAGGGGCAGCTGAAGTATGGGAGAAGAGCCACATTGGAGATATGTTTCGAAAGTTGTGCCAACCGTAATGTCCTGAGTTAGATGAGGGATTTAGCAGAGGAGCCGCCAACGGTAGCTCCAGGGAATGGGGATCCGGCAGCTGCGTTTAGGGCTGCCATTTACTGAGGTGGGAAAGACTGCGGGCAGAGAAGGCAGAGACAACCAGATGCCACTGCACTTTGCAGGAGACACATGGGTTGATACTTGAGTTGAGCTGGGAGCTGAAGGGAGGCATTTGGACTGCAGATCTACATCTGGGATAAACATGAAGAACCGAGGGGATGAGCAGAGAAGGAGAGCTTTCTCATTTAGAATCTGAAGCAAGGAGGAGATGGTTGTCGTTTGGCACATAGGAAGAAACCAGGGGAGATGGCACATCATGGCCACATGTGGCCTTCTCCAAGAGATGATGGTCAAGGTTGTCCAGCATGACAGATAGGTCAAAATAGCGTGAGGAATTAGAACTGATCACTGGCGTTAGTCACTTAGAGCAGGGCTTCTAAGACTTCTTCTGCTTGTGTCTCTCTTGTCTATCCAAGTTTCATTCCCACTGCTGTGATAAAATGTCCCCCAAAAGCCACTTATAGGATGGACTGTTTATTTCAGATCACAATTTCAGGTTACAGGCAGAAAACTGAAAACACCGCATACCATGTCCTCAGTTAACAGCAGAGAGAGGTCAAATGCATGCATGGTTATTATTCAGTTCAGAGCCCCCCCTCATATACACCCAGATAATGGCACCACACACCGCAGGCCGAGTCTTCGCATATCAACTCATGTAGTCAAGACACTCTCTCACAGACACGCCCACAGGCCAGCCTGATCTAGACAAACCCTCACTGGTACTTTCTTCCCAGGTGATTTGAAATGATATCAAGTTGACAGTTAAAAACCAATGAGTATAGTGTCTGACAAATTTTTACATGACACCAGATAAATAAGTATTTAAAACAAGTATACAGATCAAATATTTATTGGTAACAAATAATAACTATATTTAAAGTAATTATTTGGTATACATATAAATTGAATACTTTTTGAAGACTGAAGTAGTTTGTGTACTTATGACATGAATGAGGTTATCTGTGTAGCACAATAATCCATATATATACTAATTTCTGCTGCCCATAACCCATGGGTGTTTGGCCACAAGCTGGATTCGGTGGGTCATTAAAAAAGAAGATATAAAATCAGGAGGAGTTGGGCACTATGGGTGGGTCTAGGAAGATTGAGAGAAAGGAAGGAGTAACTTGATACCTTGTATGCAAGTATGAAAGACTCAAAGGGTAAAAATACTGTTTAAAATAGCTTAAAACACATACTCATTTGATACATAATAGAGATGGTAGAAGATTATTAAAAATCTTTGTTTCTTATAATTAAATCATTTTGTTTCATGCAGATAACGTGGTGTGTACAGTAAAAGTGTCTCAGTCTGTAAGAGTGGACCTGTGAGTGTGGATGCTTCAGGCAGCATTCTGCACCAGGAGGGTGAGGGCATGCATGGTGCAAGGCTCACTTGGTGGGACTAGAGGAAGTTAGGTGGTACACTGTGGGTGGTGACTGCCAGGAATATCTTACGTCTGAGTTAGATTTTAGTTATTGTGAGTTTAGAAACCTACCACTGCCAGGTTTTGCAATTCCCCACGGTTAGCTGTAAATCCTTGTTTTGGGTTATGACCCACAGTTGAAACAGCTTTGATGTAGACAGAGGACACTGGTGACCTTGTTATAAATAACTCGAGCAAGCCATAGTTGAAAGCTGTATGGAATGAGGGGACTACATTAGAACAGAGAACACAGAGGGGGATCTGGAGGTGAGCACAGAGGATCATCCGGAGGTGAGCACAGGGGCATCATCTGGAGGTGAGCACAGAGGAGGCTCTGGAGGTGAGCACAGAGGGGCATCTGGAGGTGAGCACAGGGGAGA